TTTATCTCAGTCATATTATTAGAACAACCACTGTCAAGAAATTAATTTTTGAAGTATCAGAATCACCTTGAAACTATGTCAAAAATAAAGTATTTTGCAGAACCTTAAAATTCTTTTTTCTAAATTAACTGAAGCTTCTTTTAATGTACACACCATAGAAATTTCTGAAAAAATGCTATCATCCATAGCTTGTTGCATAAAAAGCAAGAGTGATGCCTTTGAATCCTTCTTCTTGTTCTCATGATTTCTCCCTTCGTCTACTTTGATTTCCACTCTGTGTCACCAACTCTCACAAATCTTATGATTTAAACAAGATCATCATTTTGATACTACAAAACTCATACTTTTCACCGTTAAAAAAATAATCAAAGGTTGAGAACTAGTGTTGATGCAATTTGTTGCCGTAAAACAAAAAATTTCCTTAACATTTGAATGAGAACACCATACATTATCTTAGAACAACTCTCTAGAATTTTTAAAGAACATTTTTCAATAATAATCTTCACTGCAAATTCAACGCCTGCTTCAACTGGAGTGTGGCTTGGATACCAAATGTTGGTAAACATAGGGTAAAATAGGAGAAAAATTGGAGATATTTTTAATCAAAGCACAATATCATTTTAATGCATTCACATGTGTTTCATGGTACAATAACTTCACCAAATAAACTGAAATATACATGAACTTAAAAGAAACTAAAAGTTATAGGTTTTTTCTTTCAGGCGATTTCACAAACATTACACGCCTCCTATTCTTTTCATCATCTTGATGGTTGATTGGTAGAGCTCCTTCGACGGCTCATTCTTGCCTCATTACATGCCTCTGCTCTTGTGCTTGTAAAGCACTTAAGAGTTCAGTCAAAGCAATCTTTGACAGATCCTTCGTGTTTTCTAAGGTGGTGATGGTAGCCTCAAATCTTTCAAGCACTGTCACAAGGATTTTCTCAACAATCTTTGAATCTTCTAGAGAAGAATCCAATAATTTGACACGATTTGCTATGTTGAGTAGTCTGTCAGAGTATTCCATATGGTTTATGTCTCCTTCATTTTTTGCTATTCAAAGTCACGAACTAAGTTTAGCACCTACATCCCTTGAATTTTTTTCATCTCCTTCATACTCATTTTTCAGAAAATCCTAGATCCCCTTATTGTTTTCAACAACATGATACGAGTGAAGATCGTGGAGGAAACTGCAGCAAAGAGGAACGCTTTTACCTTGGACTTATTTGTCTTCCTCTCCTTTTGTGCTTTAATTTTTGCTACGGTGGGCTTGTCAGGGAGAAGAGGAATATCACAGCTTCCCAGAGATCCAAAGCTTCCAGGTATGTCTCCATGCGGACTGCCCAGATTCGGTAGTTATCTCCATAAAACACTGGTGAAGCACCTGAGGAAAAACTAGCTTTGATCTCCATAACTGCTCAAACTCACGCATAAGTCCCTTAAGAAGAGAGCTCTGCTACCAAATTTTTGGTTTCTTGAAATGAGAAAGAGAAGAAAAACTGAATTTTTTTGTTGTAGATTGAAGGAAAATCAGAAGCACATTATTTTTGTGTAGCCTTACAAATATTTAAAGCTTGGAGCTAATAACAAATCACTAAGGAAAAGACCTGAAAAACGGTTAAGAAATGTTGTGAGATATGTACTTCCTGGCATAGAAATGAGACGAAAAAGAACACAAGCAAACACAGATCGTTTACGTGGTTCGATCCAACTGGATCTACGTCCACGGGAGGGAATCAATCAAATATTTCACTAAGGCAAAAGAAATGGAGAATACATAGCTTATACATAGAGATGAGCCCTCATCTTCCTTCTATGGCCTCCCTCTCAAGCGACACCTTGATACAAGGCCCCAAGATGCTCTCCTCCTCTCTAACTCTATAGCTATTCTCTCCTCTTTTGTGGTAGCTTAAGATCTCTTCTCCCTTGCTCTCCTA